ATCATTTCTCGTCGTGGAAAAGTACTCACAAATTTTATTAATTTAATTTTTATATTTATTCCTGGGAGAGAGAGAGAGAAAGATCGCTTTTCGTTGAATTTATGTTATGTAAAATGTCATTACGGAGCTCTACATGGAATAATATGTTAAAAGTCACTTCTGATGAAAACTTAGTACTGATACACATCAAGACAGATAAAAGCGACTTTACAAAGATGAACACGGAATAAGATGACGAAAGGTAAGTCTCAAGTAACTCTAAACACGCTACATGAACTCGAAACACATGCACTTCGCTACGTTAGCATGAGATAATTTTAAGACAACTGCACTTAACATTCTCTTCGCTCCTCTTTAGTACGAAACTGGGTCACGGTGTGTAACACGATGTTTTTCAAGTAAACAACGGCGCAACGGTGAACAAGCGGGCGATAAATTTCTTCCGTTTGCAAAATGCTAAAATAAAAAGGATAAAGAGAGAATATTATCCAAATAGAAAAACACTACTTTGAGAATGGACTTTAAAGTAACGACAAAATTTTTCTCTGTCGCACACGCGCAACAAACAGAAAGATATTTAAAAAAAAATAAGAATCTAAGAGAAAGAAAAAGAAGAACTATAGTCTCTAAACTTTCATCAAGCCATTTAAAACCTCGTTCCTTGCAAGCTATAATCGATCGAAAGTTTACGAAAAAAGTATCAAGACACGAAATAAAGGCAGTTAAGAGAAAGAGAAGTAGAGGAAGAAAATGAGAAAAGGTGGAAACTACGTAAAGCTAGTGATACTGAAGAAGTACGACGATTTAGTGAGTGAGTGAGAGAGAGAGAGAGAGATGAGAGAGAGAGAGAGAGAGAGAGAGAGAGAGAGAGAGTAAGAATATATCTCCGCGTATCGTACCGCACGATAAACGTTGGGACGCACGCCTTAACAAAGCGCGGCCAGGAAGAAGAATGAGAAGGATTGCAGGTGCGAAAGAGAATAAAAGAGGGAGAGGGTTGGCAGAGAGCAGTTCAACCTCCTGCTCTGGGATCGATTCGCGAAACTTTCTGGCTCGGTAACGATCGCTCGCGCGCATTTCTTCAGCGAAGGTGGTGCTGCTAGTTCCTCGAAATACGGAAAACGCTTCAGACACGGGAACGGGAACTCGCAATGAGCGTACGAGATGAAACGAGCAGGAATTGAAGGAGTCCTCGCCAACTTGACCGTATCGAAAAATTGGACGGCGCTTACAAGTTCCGAACGTGTGTGGATTACAAAGTATCTCGCGTTTCTCGTGCACACGCATATATTCCGCGCCGATCGAAATGCGCTCTCACATCAAAATATACACGTACATGTAATATTGCGTAATAGTGAAATTAATATGTAATAAGCCGAGGAGTTTCACCGAAATTACGGACATTACCGTTTGTCATTGACATTCTCATACATAAACATTAATTATTTAATTAATGTCGACCGATTGTGGTTAAATGTCCGAATGTTCCGGCGCACAGTCACATCTGAGATAATTAAAATTTTTTAATTAAGAATATAATATTGTATTCATAATATCTAACTTTGACCTTTGATCATTGGCGCTCTCTAATATATGTATGTACATTTAGACGATCGGATCTTAATTCTTAATTATTTAATTGTTAGAAACACAGCTTTTATACTCTTATGAATTAAGAAATTGATGTAACTAGTAGCTTATATAAAATTATTCTAAAAAGAACATGAAAGGAATGTTTTTTTTCTCATTATCTTCTTTTATATAAAGTAATATAAATACTTCAGAGAAAAATATTATAGAAAAAAGCAACGTTTTATTTAATTGATAAGCAATACTTTTAATCTATCTGCACTTTTATGATCAAAATATTAAAATTAATACAAATGCGATATAAGATTTCTTTTTTTTATCATATGATGCGATTGTGAAGTAAAGAAAGAGAAACGCTGGATTTTAAAGCAATCTAGATATTCCTCCGATGTACGCTCCTTTACTTAAGTGCTAACGGAAGCGAGACAGGGTACCACTCTCGCGCGAATTGCAGACAGAGCGAGTGTCAAATGATCGGAAACCCTAATCAGGAGTCGCGCAATCAATTATCGTGCTGCGCGCCGGCAAAGCGTTTAAGCGATCTCAGATTACTGCGCTCACTCTCCACGTCCCGAACGCCCGCAGAGAAATTGTGTTCGATTCAGCGATTCCTGCCTGCCGACCGAAAGCACTCAGTCCCTCCGCTTGCTCTCCCGCTGTCTTGCATCAAGAGTTTACGCGATTGGTGCCTAGTCAAGTGTGATTTACAAGTGTAACTCGGCCTTTCTTTGATGGCCGGCGTACTGTATCTAATTCCGTACACGAAACGACTTTTCTCTTATCGCGTATAATAATATTCTCTGATTCGATGTGATAAATTACGTTATTTTCAATTCTGCGTACACACACATTTACTGTAAAATTTTAATTAATAATTTTTTTCCGAGAGAGAGAGAGAGAAAGAGATAAGCTTTTCATAGAAAAGTACTGATAAAATAAAAGAAAGAATCCTATTTTTCGGTCCAAGCGGATCTTAGTGCTTGATAATGTTCATAAACAAATACATTTTTCAGTTTTATAAAGTGCGGTTGTCAGACTTGAAACGCAATCATAAACTGAAGCTTAGAAATAACGACACAAATTACGTTGATCGTCAATTTAATAATAAGGCTAATAAGCATCGAAGTAAAAAAAAGTGATATTTTTTTTCCAAAAATACATTTTCCCTTCTATTTCTTTTTCCCAGCCACAAAAGTAGATCTTTACCCTCGTTTCTCGCTGACCTTTTCCTTTTTTCTTGATTACAAGTTCAGCTACACCGTTCGTTTCCGTGCCGTGTAATTCGGCTCCGTGACCGTCTTGTTCTTATTTTTCTTGCCCGACCTCTCTCTCATCCTCTCTCTCGTGTGACAACTTCAGTACCGCGTCTCTTAACCCCTGTACCGTGTGCAACCCCTCTTTCGACTTATATACCTCGACCAGAGCGACATGAGCTTACCTACGTGGTCGCAGGATAGCGGAATTATAAAACTTTCGTCGGAACGTAGCTAAAGTCGCCGGGGTGAATTTTAAAGTTCCACTATATCGTGTCCACCTTCAATACGACAGCTCGCCGTGGGAGTACAACTTCGTAAATTCCTTTGTTACATTTTACATTCGAATTCGTAAAGAATATGACGTGAAGGAATATTCCCCTCGAAATTTTTTAAAATAACAAAAAATTCTTTCAAGTCTCTCTAAGCTTTTTACGAATTTTAAATATTTATACATGAGATACTGCACACAGGAAATATACAATGTCCAATTATACTAGCATATACAAGATTTTCCAAAATTCGCGACTAAAAATACTATAGCAAGAAAGTTTTGGAAAAATTAAGGAAAAAAGTTATTTGTAAGTTTTTATTTTCAGGAATAATTTCTGAGATATAAGGGTTTAAATATGGACAATTATGGATATTCACCTGTGAATATTAAGCAACTGCTGAAATACATTTTCATCGGTGCTTACTAGTACCTACTACGGCATGCACGACTCATGGACACGTGACTTTCTAAAAATAGTCTGTAATTTTCTATATTTAAATTCTTATCTCAAAAATTACTGCTAAAAATAAAAATTAAAAAATAATTTTTTTACTTAATTTTTCGAGAATTATTTTACTATAATATTTTGAGTCACGAATTTTGTTGAAACACTCTGTCAATCAATTCTGTATACATCTCCATGATTTACTATCGTTGCGATTGACATTTTTATTTTATCAGCCTTCTACAAATCTACGTATAGCAAAGCACATCATACATGAAGTGCCAACGTATGTATTCTCGTGTAAAAGACCCTCACAGTTGAATCCACCGGATACAGCAAATCGCGCTAACGTCAGCTTTTACGTAGAACGTAAGCACCTTAAATATTTATGAACATACACTTTCCACCATTTCCGTGTATAATAAACTTATTCATGCATTATTCACGTGTGTGAAAAGCCGCGAGTGACGCGGAAACAAATCTGTCTAAATCGAAACGTCTAGGATTTACGGCCGTCGATCAAAATGCAAAGAGTTAAATGATATCTTTTTTTATAGTAAGATATAAAAGATCACGCGCCCAGCCAGCAAATAACGACGATTTTATCGTGCGTTTTAACTTACGTGCCCCCTTATCGACCTGGCGCTCCCCTGTTCCCCAATTACGACGCCAACGACGACGACGACGACGACGACGACGACAACGAAGAACAGGAGGAGGAAAAGGAAAGGGGAGGGAAAGGGACGCCTGCGAGTCGTGCACCTACGTGAGCGTAAACGACGAGGATTATCGAAGTTTCCTCGCTGCTGGGAAAAGCTTAAGGCTTCTTCTCTCTGAGCTCCCTTTTCTCCCTTCCGCGTCCAATGGCAGCAAAAGACCTTCGGTGCACACGAGCGAATTGACGTTGCTACGTGGATTCATTATTCCCTTTAGATTCTCGCTGTTGCTCTCGCGGACACGACTCTACGCACAAAGAACTTCGAAACGGTGCACATGAACACTGCACACGATATACACACGCAGATATAATCTAATACGAACGAGTTATAACGAGATTGTAAGCACACAATTACGAGAAGAAAGATTTACAGGCTCAATTATAATAATTGTAACATTAATTATATACATTACAATATTTTTATAGATTATAAATCTTATAATCGCAAGATTGCTATAATTAAATTCCTTGTCCTAAATTTTCATAACTTTTCCCTAATTTCCGGACTAAATTTCATGATTTTCCGTAACTTTAATAATATTTTAAAGTTTTTTGTATTTTCGTCCTGAAGAAACCGTTAAACATTTTATCGAGGGAGCAATGTAAATTATTATGTTATTGACACCGCTTGCATTTAATTGTTAAGTTGGTAGTATTCCAAAACAGCGTGGATGTGATATACGCATACCAAACTTCTTTAAACTCAAAAGCTTTAATTTTCTAGAAAATTCTCTGACTTTTCTCTGACTTTTTCCCTGACTTTTTTCAATTTTCCTGATATTTCCTTGATTTCCAGTTTTGTGACAACCCTGAATTGTCTTAAAATTGAATGACATTAACTCTCTATCTGCAATCATTTTACTCTCTTCATCTGTAATTTGGGTTTTTTTGTTCAGCCCAAATTTTACTGTTCTAAGCTTTCAAAAAAAAAAAAAAAACAGGATTCTGTCTTCCTTTATTTCGAAGAAATTTGATAGTGCCAAAAAATTTTTCTTGTGCCAAAAAAAAACCATATTACAGATGGCTAACTTAATAGACGGCATCATTAAGATGCAATGATAATCATCATTGAAGAACATCTTATCTTAATAAATTTTATCAGTAAATGACAATCATTAAGGTAAACGTCCTAGTATCCGGACACAATATTTACTATTATTAATCTCAAATGTTTTTTTTATTACAGTATTATAATTTAATTGCATTTAAAGATTACAATTAAATTGTAATATTACGTTTTAAAAATCGTATTTGAGACTAATATTATCTTAAATAAATAAAGTGTTATGTAAATGGACATAGGTTATGTTCAGATATAGGTACATGTCCAGTCACTGGGGTCGGACAGTACTTATGTCCGGACAGTTACACAAAACTTTATTTATTTATATTAATATTAATCTCAAATGCTTTTTTTACCTTAAAGATCAATTTGAATTAGTTGTCTTTTGTCATTAAACATCTATTTATATTATTATTTTCCGTCAGCGTTAATTTTCTAATTGTGGTCGGACACTGAGACAATTACTCAGTGTCTCAGTGTCCGTGGCTTGTCCGGCCACTGGTACATTGACGCATTCTATTTATTTAAATATTTTAATTAATAATTATTATAAGTAGGTTCAAATAATTTTTCCTTGCTTAAGGGAGTCTTGAGTTTTCAAATGAACAAATATTTATATTAAAAACCTTTTTGACATATAAATTGTATTATTTATGAGAACGCTTAAACGTCCGGCTACTGGGACATTTACCTTATCAAAAAAAGCTTGTTATTCAAGAAACAAGATGGTTTCGGTCGATGAATCGCGATAAAGAGACGCAGCTTGTAGGAATAGGAAAAAGTAGCTCGCGCTCGTCGAAAAACGGCAAATCTTTTTCTTCCAACACTGTCTGTAACTAATGGAAACCGCGGAAAGAAGCAGTCGAGCGTTCTTTCCTACGAAATATCTCTCGAGCTCGTCGAAGGTTACCGTATGCACGTACAGACAGGATTTTGTGTATGCAAATACGATGCCTCTGGCCAACAGCGAAAATAAGCATTCGTTTTATTCTTATTCGCGACCGAAACACGTGATCGGACTGTCCAGCGACTCAGCAGAATGAATCGTGACTCACAAAGCGGATTCCCCCGTCTTCCGCATTTTTGTACGGCTTCCGATGTTTCTTCCTCTCTCCCCCTGTTTGCTACCACATTCTCTTTGCAATTCTCGCCCGCAATTTTCACACAGCCTATCGTAGATTGCGTGCCAGGAACGTTCACTCCAAATCCCCTGCGACACATACACACGTACTTACGTATATTCTCTCTTCTCGCACAAGAGGTAAGTAAAACTCCTACAAATCTCGCACGTTGCGGCATATGAGAAAAGTGAGAAAGAGAATTGCGGATCGGGAACGGTGTAAGCAAGCGCAGAAATAATGTACGCCTGTCCGTAACAACGTACTTTCAAGTACTTCGGAATAACAGCGGCGAGGAAGTAAAGTCGGATGTTATTGGTCGGTCGAAAAATACGCGAGTACCACCGATAGTCGCCACGTATTCCTTCGAAATGGGGAAGGTTGTATCGGAGATGGCGTGGACCGCAGATACATACATCTATCGATAGCGGGAAGAAGAATCGACGAGAGAGTGGATGAGGAGGGGTGGAGGTACAGTGCAGCTGAACTCAAACGGTCTCAATGGTTGATGGGTTGGATAGGGTTGCTGACATTGCTTCCTCCCATCGCCGGAAGAAACGAAAGAAGAAAACATACGGATGACAATTTCTCAAAACAATAGGGGCTCTCTACATTGTATATATGAAAAACAGTAAATCTGTAAGCATATACCATCCACCCGATCGAATTAGTAATACCTTTAGCAGTACTTTTTAACAGTAATTTGTTTTTTCTGAATTCAGAAATCTACTGAGACATTTAACGTCTCATATTTAATACCCTAAATGAGAGGGAGAAGTTCGCAATTATTTCAGATTCGTCGAATTTAAATTCAATACCTTAAAATCATAATTCTCTGTCAAAAAAATTTATCATATCCAAATATTAAAACTATTAAAATCATTTTTAATACGACACGTAAGAAATCGTATTTCAATAGATCTCGAATGTTTTTAATTACTGATGTGTAAATAATTTAAAAGTATACTTTCTGCACATACACACATACAATAATCTACATAAAATATTTTCCTGTTCCCTGACGAAATATTTATTGAAAGAGTCATCTGTTTTATGTTACAAGTAAATATGAAGTCAAATTGTTAATAGATATGAACGAGTTATGAAAGATTAAGATAAAATATAGAATATATATATAAAAATAAATACAATTAATCATTAACACATTTAAATAAATTGGATATATATATATTGTTATATTTTATTACATAAATCCTAGAAAGAAGTAAAAATTCCAGAAAAAGAAAACTTTATTTTCTATGAGTCTGCTAGTATTTTTGCGTTCTTATACGAAAAATCAATCAATAAACAATAATATATTTAAAATTAGATATCTTAATTTTAATCGATTCATTTTTTAAGAAATGCATCTGAAATTAACACTTATATATATGAGTATTCTTATATTTTTAATTTGATACAAATACCTTTATCTTATATATTTGATAAAATTTTCGTAAATCGATTATACGTCTTAAATTAAAATAATTTGTCTCACTCACCGATACGACGCGCAGCAGCGGAGTTACAACGATGTCGAACTACGTTAAACTATAAAACAATAATAAATACAAATTATAGCAGCTCTCAAAAAAATTAATATTTCATTAAATAATTATTAGCGATTAATTCCTCGATGTAATACATAAAAATAAAAAATTTACCTCATGATTGCTCCGCCGGCGCACGATGCTTCTCCGGACTTTCACTTCCTCTCAGATTCTTCCATTCTTCATTGTTTCTTTATGGCAGCACTCACTCGCGAAAGCACTAATTACAGTCGCGCGCGCGCACTGATTTTAATGGGATTAAGATGCGACAGTATTCAAAATCATATAAATTTAATATTATCAGTAAGATATATATATATATATTTAAAAAGCATTATATTTAATATTATTGGTGTTAGCTATACTTAAACTCAAAAGTCTCATATCATCCGCTTTTATGTAATCCAAAGATAGTAAACCAATTATATTTATATCGGTAAACAATTTAAAGCGGTACAAAATACGTTGCAAGATTTAGAAATATTATCGTGTAAAATATGAAACAAAATTTCATTTTCATCGACGATAATTTCGACTCTAGCAAGTAGAGACTCGTGCAAAGTATTTGCTTCGACAAATGAATGTAGACACAGAATAATCAAACGAATAATTGTTAACTGTACTGAGGAAATGATAACGCTTTTTTTTTTTTAATAACTTGTCGCGAACGCGTCCTAAGGAATAATGACTACAATTACGAAGCAATCGAAGCTGCCTGCCTTCTTTCTATAATACGGCATCCGATCTGGAAACTGAGATCGATAAGCCAGTGACAACCATTAGTCGAATTAAATGAAATATAGAATACGATATGCAATCAGAAAATATCCAATCCAATATGTAAAAATACACTGAAAAAAATTTACTAAATCTTAATACGTATTTCTTTGAATAGTACTAAGTAAAGTTTACTTACAGTAAATAAATATTTATTTAATACAAAAAAAATTAAATCAAATTAATTGTTTTTATATCAAATAAATACATTTACATTTAATAAATAATTACTTAGAACTATTCAACAAATATTTATTAAAATTTCATTTTTTTTCAGTGTATGCGATCAGAAAATATATAGTTAAAGAGCAATCGCAAAATTGGATTAATTTCGTCAGAAACTTTCAAAAATTTTTATATCTGCACTCGGCAGTTCCTCTAATGCAACTGCCATTACCTGCCGATTCGAGTCTCTCCACGCGACCATAAACAAAATAACCTTGAAAACACAATGACACGCTATACCGCCGAGCTCTGTATCAGTCATTACGAAATATTTAAAGTATTAAGCTAGCGGCACAAAAAATATAGCAGTAAACGGATCGTTCAATCATAGTCAAAAACGCGATAGCGTAAGCAATAGAAAATCCAAAATGTTGATTCGTTTAATGCTTAAACACAATGGGCATAAGCAATAGACACAGGGAACAGGGAATAACGAATAGTCCAATCAGAGCTCTGGGATATCTCTCTAATAACAAACTTATACCCCTGAGCTCTGATTGGACGGCTCGTTATTCCCTGTTGCCTGTTCCTATTGCCTGTGCCCATTGTATTTCCAGCTTTACATTTTCTATGTGTCACTCCAAAATCCATGACATATAAAGTTATATAAGACCAAACAGCAAATCCTAAATGTTGTTTTGCTTACCGCTTACGTTTTACTACTTAAATTTTTACCATAGCTTTTAAGATTATAGAACTAACACAAAAAAACTTAAATAATAAGATATAAGCAGTAAGCAAACCATTGCGGATTTGCTATTCACTATTACTTACATTTCTCTACTGTGATTAATCGACTTGTTTGTTGCTTACGTCTTATTGCTTTACGTTTTTTTTTTCATGTGCCACGGCCTTTACACAAGTCACGAACGTTAAAAGTTAGCCATGCGGGCAAATATACAGGGTGTCCCGTAAGTTTTTACCAACCGCTTTTATATAGATAGAGCGGACTGAAACTGAATCGAAAAATCCTCTATCATTTTGCAATTTTCACAATAGTTAACGAGATATTAATTACTAAAAATTGCCGTTAACTATTGCGAAAATTGCAAAATGGTAGAGAACTTTTCGATTCAGTTTAGTCCGCTCTATCTACACAAAAGCGATTGGCAAAAACTTACGGGTCACCCTGTATATTATATGTTCGTAAGACATAATCGCGTTTTGGTATTTCATAGTACTTTTCGCGAAGAATATTAGCTACAATATACTCAATAGTTCGTACCGTTATCAATCCACTCGTATCTCGTTACGCGAATAAAAGAGAGATTACTGTGTATACGCATGCTTGTACATCGCGAAAAATGAGCATCGAGCGATACTGAACTCGCGGCCCGGCTGTCGCAAAATATTTAACACGCAAGAAAGTACAATATAAATTGCAAGAATAAACTCGCCGTTCGTAAAGAACGATTACATTTAGCGTCTTATAATACTTGCCGCTATCGCATCTTAAAAAGTAATGAGGCGATAATACATGAAGTTACTCACGTCGCGATATGCTTGTAGGAGACTCACCGAGCGAATGATAGCGCGACGTGACCTTACGCAACGACGTATCGTACGCGCATGGCGCGCGCATCGTACGTCACATGACAACGGACGCGTCACCGCTACGAAATATTCAATGGCTGCGTTCAACCGAAAAAGCAGCTTTGCAATTGGTGCAAAATTCTTTAATATGATTCAAGATTCTAGATTTTGGATTCAAAATTCTATATTTAACTCTTCAGCACCACCCCGAAATTTTCGATCAAATAATAGTTTACGCTCTGGGCCGTTGAAGGAAACAGCATATATTTTTTACGATTCCGGACTATATAAAAATCTGAAAAAAATTCTTGTTCTCTCACTCGTGAAACCTTTAACAATAAGTTTTTACTATAATAAAAATTGGACTTATTTTATTTATTATTTTATTTTGTACATTGAATTGAATAAGAATTTTGAGAAAACGTGATATCGATATCTTAAAAGATAGAAAGTAGTACTGGAGGGTTAAGATTTTTTAATATAGTTTATACATATAAATCTGTGAAGGACAAGAACCAATCATATTATTTAAAAAATTACAACAATTGCGAAGCTGCTTTTCTGCTGAACACAGCTAATAAAATATTTAATCGTAAGATGAATATTATTAAATATTTTATACATCTCAAATCAATTATTATATTATGACTATTATGCTAAATGGATTATTATACAATTTTAGCTTTAGTTTATAAATTTTAAAGCGTCTCCTGACGATTCTCATATTCTCTGAATGAGAATTTCATAAAAAGAATATTAAATGATTCGCTTATAACATTATCTCTTACGAATAAGGAACTATTATTTACCCAATTATCATTCATGATTTACTTTACTTGTAATACTTTAAATATTTCGTAACGAATGGTTGACGCGTCGTTGTCTTTCAAGGTCTTTTTACTTGCATCTGAACTCGAACCGATAGGCAAGTCGGCGAGATCATAGAGTTATGACCTTCCGAGACGTGATCGCGACAAAAAAGAAAGCACTATCGTTTTCTCAATATGACTAACAATTGAGGGGATGGGCGAAACAAAAGTCTAATTACAAAATCTTGATTTTAATACAAATTAAAATAACTTGCTACTTTTTTATTATACATAAATAGATACAATATCAAATGAATTTATATAATGTCTTTAAGAAGTTATATGTTACAATACTTTTCTATTAAGATTAATATTATATAAAACAGCTAATCTCCGGAAAAAGGACCTAAGTAGAATTGTGCAGCTCTATAAAGTTAGCAGAACCAAATCAGCAGAATCAAATCGAACCTATCGGAATTTTTAGTACTCATTTTGTATTAGTTTGTATCACCAATAAAAATGTTGTACTATGTGCCATTTCGAAAAAAATCGTGACGCTACTAACTTAATATTAAGCTGGCAGGACCAATTAAAAAAAAAGAAAAAAAGAAAAATAATATCATAAATCAATAGGATTGAATTTGTACTATTTTGTATCACCGAAAACAATTCTATATTATGCGTCATTTCCAAGAAAACTGGCGTTGTTAGTTTAATATTTAAACTGGCAGGACCATTACAAAAAAATGAAACCAGAGCAAAACTTAACGCAACTGAATTTGTACTAATTTATATCATTGAAAATAAGTTAATATTTTACATGTTTTCTCCTTAAAATGACTTTATTAGTGTATACTTACAATATATATGTTAGTGATCTCAATATAACAAAGGTGCAAACCAAGCTTAATTAATTGCATGATAAAAATTTTTTTTAAATCGAGTGTCACGTAGGTCAGGCCTGCAGCCGAGTTGCACATTTCGACCGATTTTGCTTATCATCATTCTCACTCCTTTTGTTTCATGGCATTTAGCACTGCTTTCCTTTTGATGTCACAAATCGACACAAGTCGACACAAGCATCGTTCTATCCTTCTTGACATTCAGAGAGTGACAAAACTAGAACGACACTTGTGTCGACTGTGTTTCCTAAAAGGAAAGCAGTCTAGATCGTGCGCAGAGACATAAAACGCTTGAACTCAGGAATGATATTAGCCATAACTCATACAGGGCACTATAGGGCTATAGGACTTTGAAACATATTGCTTATTATTGCTTGTATTGTTAGGACTTTGAAACATATTGCTTATTATTGATTATATTGCTTATTATTGCTTGTATTATTTTTTTTTTCTTTTTTTTTAATTGGTCCTGCCAGCTTAATATTAAGCTAGCAACGCCACGATTTTTTTCGAAATGGCACATAGTACAAAATTTTTATTGGTGGTACAAATTAATAATACAAAATGAGTACTAAAAATTCCGATAGGTCCGATTTGATTCTGCTTTGATTCTGATTTGGTCCTATTAACTTTATAGAGCTGAATTGTGCCTTTATTCCGCCCTCAATTGTTCTACAATTAATTATTCCTTCACGCGATTTTACCTTCTATTTTTTTTTTCTATCAATAATCGTTTATTGAAGCAAATATAATTCTCTTGTTTAATGACGAAATGGTAAACAATAAAAGTTTAAAACTACTATTTCATGTTCAGACGAACACGTTGCGTTGCGTCGCGAAAAGTACTACAAGATATTATCAAAAGCGCTTACCTCTTACAAACATTAATTACACAGGCCTGCAAAATTGAAGGTGTTGAAAGTCGATTGAGATTTAACAATGTTTTCTTACGTAATTTTTTGCGCTGAATCCGAATCCGGCTGCAGAATTGCTCTCTCACGTCAAGATTTTGAGATATCTTAACTTAAAACTGTCAAAAGTTGTTTTCAACCGTATATAGTAGTAAATGATACCGTTGAGATGGATTTGACAACAAAAATTTTCTTAATTTTTAATTTAATTTAAAATATGGTTGAAAACGGTTTTTTGGCAGTTTTAAGTTAAGATATCTCAAAATCTTGACGTGAGAGAGCAATTCTGCAGCCGGATTCGGATTCAGCGCAAAAATTACGTAAGAAAACATTGTTAAATCCCAATCAACAAAACCATGCACGCCTGTATTATTATTTGCTCACACGATTAATTTAACATCCACGATTTGTAATATTTTAAATATTTCGTAACAGTTGGCTCGGCGGCGCACGATGAGTCGTTGTGTTTCAAGGTCATTTTGTTTACATTCGAAACTCGAGCCGACAAACAAACAAGCCAGCGAAATCGTAACGCTATTGCTTTTCGAAACGTAATCGTGACTAGTACCGAAAGAAAGTAATACCGTTGTCTCAACATATGACTAACAATTCTTTCATAATTAATAATTATTCGTTTGCATGATTATTTTCTCGTTTTATCAAGTCAACGATCGTCCATAGAACCAGATATTTTGCGTGAATCTTTTACTTGATATCGAAATGGTAGACAATAAAACATTAAAAATCATTGTTTCATATTTCGGAAGATAATATTTCAAATCTTGGAAAATGCATTTCATACTACACCTTAAATTTTTCGCCGATATAAATGTAATTTGTTCACTACCTTCGGATTACGAAAATGATAAGCGAATCACCAGTGATTTAAGTAATGGCACATACGTATATTTTGCGAGATTTATGCGCTATTCAAACATATTGTGCTGGTAATATTTTTTAATTATCTCTTTCCGAACAATCAAATCTCGTTATAATCAACGCGCACGCGATCGTGATTAGATGTGTTTTCGTGAATAAATGTTGTGTGCCATCAAGAAACAATGAGAAATGAAGGAATCTGAGAAGAGGCGGAGGCCAAGGAAGGTATCGTGTATCGGCGGAGCACAACCATAAGGTATATAAGTTTATTATTATTTTTTATGATTTCAATTTTGTATTATAATTGTTCTTATTTTTTTATGTATAATATTACACCGCGTAATCAATCGCTAATAATTATTTACGCATATGACGATTATTTTTTAAAATACCAATCATTTTAAGTGTTGCTATAATTCGAATTTATTTTTATTTTATAGCTCAACATAACCAGTGCAATGTATTTACAACTCCGCTGCTGCGCATCATATTGGTGAGTAATAAATTATTTTAATTTGAAAAGTAATGGAGTAATGAAAATCGAATATATTGAATAATATGGATATGTAATATGTATGTAACTCAAATTAACAATATATGATTAGCTAGATCATAAAAGTATAAGAATATATATAAATATCATAATTCCATTGTTTTACAAAATATATAGATAGACTAAGATTAGGATATACAACGTCTTGGAACACATATAACAAAAAAAAGAATAAGCAATATTACACAATTAGAAATTATTCAAATACAAAATAATAAATATAAAAACAAAATAATTTACATAACAATTTTCATTCAATAATTCATTCAATAAAATATGTTAATGATTGTTAATTGTATTCATTTTTATGACATCAATTTTATATCTAATTTTTTACTATTCATATTAATTAACAATTCGACTTTAAATGTCTAACGAATATTTCATCGTGGAATAGAAAAATATGCAAGTCATCTCAGAGTTAATCAGTTACACGTTTATAAAATAAATTAAAAATCAATATCATTTGATCTTCAGTAAAATTCAGTAACAGATGATTGAATTAATACGTGTGTAAGCATAATTATAAAGTACAGCGCGAGGACTTTTACGCAATATCATTGATTAATTTAATTATTTATAACTTGAAAATTATTTCGGCTCCGATATTTTCGTATTAAAATTTTCGATCTTCTCTAGAACGCATTCTTAAAATATTGCACAATAATTGTACGGGACATTCTGCATTTGTGTAACACGTGTTAAATGCCAGATTTAAAAGTACTCAGAAATGGTTCTTTCAAAGGGTGAAAATACGTAAAAGATGGATAAGAGACTGTAAATAAAATGTGAAATAAAAGAATGACGGTTCGAAGACTGGAAGAAACAGACGAATAAAAAAAAATCGCGGAAAGTAAAGGGCGCAGGAGTCGTATATTTTTTAGGTTAATCGTTGCTCGGCAAGCGCGAGACACATCGGGTTGCTTCTCGCGCGTAGAAAGGAAAAAGAAGAGAAGAGAACCCTTTCCATCTTGCCTCTACGCTCGCTCCGTCATACTGTCTTATCCTGAGGGATTAATTTCTCGAGGTTTATGTACGTCGCTGCGGGAGGAATGGCATCAGGTAAATCCTTCGCTGCGGAACGTATTTCAGGAAGAAAAATACGAGTAGGATGATTCGGACGGAGTCCTCAGCCTTTCTTCTCTCCTCTCTCTTTCTCTCTCTCTCTCTCTCTCTCTCCCTCTCCCGTCATTTTAAATCGTTGTGCTTGCTTCGAGGTACGTATTCAGGAGAGATTATCTCTCGAGAGCACGGTACAGAATATGCGAAGATAAAAATACGGACGCGACGGATGGTACGATAGAAATTTCCGATGCGCGGAATTATTTACCAAGAGCATATCCTGACGGAACTTGTATTCCGGAGACCGGTAACATATTACGAGAGATTTCGCGGTGGGAACAATTCTACGCTTGCTACTCGCGAAGGAGATATTCGCGCTTCCCTTGTTAGTTACAAAGACGACATGAGTAGCGTTCCCAATGTTCGCGGCGTGAAAGCAAACTACATCCTCGACAGGAAATTAAACTTGGGCGTACATGCCGGAAATATCGATTGTCAATTACAACTGAAGAGACAATCGTTCTAATCAAGATAACGAATACAATTGAGCCAATGTGCGTTCAAACAGATTTTCCAAATTCTACAAAATTATAAATTTCGAAAATACATTTAAATAACGTAGATGAAAATCGTGTACACGAATGAAAATTAAATAATACGCGCGAATATGTGGATACTTTTCTAATCTATCATCTAATCTCGGATACAAAAATACAAAATGAAAACCGGCATTCGTGAGTTCTCGGAAATTGGATAAAAGTGGCCACAGTTTTCGACTTCAAGCAGTAATAGTCGCCGCGAGAAAGTCCGGAGTCAATGGACTGAATTTAAATCCGCGCTATATTCGACGTTACGTTCGCGAAAAGTGAGAATGAGAGAGACAGGGCAAAAATAGAGGAAATACGCACGGAAGCGGTCGCGGGTCTCGTCCCTGCGGTATCAACCAACGTCGATATTGAGTTATTCGCCCG